AATTGAATTGAATGCAGCAGGCTGTAAAAATGTGTGTGTGCTGTGGTTGGTACGTCCTCAGATAAAGCAGATCGAAGACAGCCTGAGGAGCTGTGAGACTCAGAGGGAACTGTCTGCACTGAAGCGTAAACTGGAGCTCGTGGAGGAGGAGAAGAGTGACTACAGTGACAAATGCTCCAAGGCTGAAGTGGAGGTCAAGGATCTTCGGTTTACAGGTGAAGACATTTTTGGAACTCTAAGGATAGGATGCACTGTGGGACATTAAACTGTACAAGAGGACGATATGCAGAATCAACACTGTAGAGGGAGATTCTCTTCATAGCTTTCGTCAACCTGGAAGACCATTTAGTTGTCCTTCAGAGTCTTCTTGACTATAATAGTTTCCTTTTCTGTTGGTGGTGCCGTTGCTGTGTGTGTACTGTAACTGGATGTGTTTCACTGGACAGTTGAGGAGCTCCAGAAGAAGCTGCAGGCAGCTACCAACCCTCCCCCAGCTCCAGCACCTCCGCCTCCCCCACCACCTCCACCTCCTCCGGCCCCTCTGGCTTCCAACCCACTCAGGTTTGATCACACAGCGTGCTCTATGTATCATCAGTTAGGGCTTTGTCTTTGATACACCTTTCATACAATGAAATTACTTTGCACCATTGACTGTATATATAGCTTTGCACACTGAGACATTCTGGCTCTGAGAGCTACCACTACAGCAACCCTAGGTTACTACTAAAGTATGACTGCTGATAGATTGTGAAATATCTTGTGACCCCCCTGTTTTTTATTAGTGACATACATGGTACATTGATGACATTTTGTGACAGTTATTAGGGTCAGTGTGGGTAATGTGAGTGTGTGTCTATTGTGGGGTAAGTAAGAAAAATAAAATAAAATAATATTTATAAATAAAGTTCTAAGATTATAGTGATAATAATTATATCATGTAAAAACAATAGTGTTATTACAGTAAAATATGAACACAGCACAGTATAATATTAATATTATGACAGTATTTCTGTGTGACCAAGGCTTTATATATATATATGTCTCAGGTTTACCATTTTTAATCTTATTGAATGTGCTTTTGCAGCAGGAAGCAATATTTGGATGCACACCCATAAAATATTAATGAAAATCTCTTAGAATGAATGTTCTCCTTTTAAAAAAAACAGATTTTTTCTGTAAGCACCAAAACAGCCATGTGACGCCATTAGACAACTATGAACATGAACGTAAATGGTCAAAGGACCTGTACTTGTATAGCGCCTTTCTAGTCTTCCGACCACTCAAAGAGCTTTTACACTACGTGCCACA